AAATAAGTGATATTTCTTTTAGTTATTCATTTTCTTTGGTATTGAAAGCACTAGAATGTACGACTACAAGTATAGAAGCATCAATACCCTTTCTTTAGTTAGTAGCCTCTTTTTATCAATCACCCCTCTGAACACACTCTCCCAACCTCTCTTTTCATCTTTGATAGAATTGTTTAACAATTTCTGTCGAAATTGGAACAGGCTTAGATACTTATTTTTGCACTGACCAATTTTATTAGTATATTCCACTCTCCCAACTCATATGACTCTTTTACTAATAGTGAAGAAACCCTTCATTTAAAGTAACTGTAGCAATAATTTAATTAATTTAAATATAAAATATAAAATAAAGTAATTGCTATTTTCTTCTAATAAAGCGCAGTATTCTTTTGATATTGCTTTATTTTGTTGGAGGTGTTTCGTTATGAATTTTTGTTGCAAGACACTCGATATCTCTTACTCCTCTTTGGTTTCGTGTGGTATACTCAAATCGAAATCGTTTGGAACAAACAAACTGAAACTTGTCAACCCTAAACATTCCATATAAATTTTATAAACGTGAAACGATAATATCGATATGATTTATATTTAGAAATAGAAAGTACCTGTGTCAGTTGGAATTGAAATTTCTTTCGTGGTTAACATTCGACTGGTGTAAACTGCATTTGAGTGGATCGCTTGTTTTTTTTATTCGTATTCGTAGGAAGCTTTTTTGTAATTTCATCTCCTTATAAAGTTTGTCTAATCTCTGCTTTTCTAGTTTAAGACACTCTTTAATTTCTTCACGTGTCTTGGGAGATTCTAAAGAGCTGTAGTGCTGAAAATGCAAAGTATTCGGTTTCTTATACTTAATGACCGATATCATCGATAGAGTCGATAAAGTCACAAAGTTCCCGCGCAGTTGGTCTGTTTTCAGGAATAGGATTCCACCATTTTTCAATAATAAACTTGAATAATTTAGAACATTATTTGGTATCGTAGGTCGTGCTCCGTTATAGATGTCATATATCATGACTTCGTTCACCAAATGGTCGTTCAGCTGTGGCAATCTCGTACGTAATCATCCCAAAACTATAAATATCAGCAGCTTTAGTATATGGCTTTCCATTTAGTACCTCTGGACTCATATAAGGAAGTACTCCGCAAATTTTTTGATTAGATTTATTTGTGTCTGCTGGGCCGGTAAGTCCAAAATCAGCAATATTAGTTAGCTTCATTATAACGCAATAATATATTTCCAGGGTGAAAGTCATGATGCACAAATTTCTCATTGTGAATTTTATATAACCCTTCAATAATACTCCTTAAATATTCTAATTTCTTTTTCCACGTCAGTGCTTTGTAGTTGGAATTCATATATTTGCGCAAACCGCCATCTTTTTGCATAATCCATCACATATTCAACATTGGTAAATCTTTCAAAAGGGATCCATTAAAATACTTCATATTCATTAACATTATTGCATTCATTTATTAGACTGTCTATATCTTTATTTCCACTAGACCGTTCAACATAAATTCGTCGGTGATAATAAAGCCATCCAGAACACCACCTATTTTTTTTTCGACAATTGGTACATTACTACAATCATGAGTATTGTGAACTGAACACGCTTGGCGGTAGTTGAGGTATTTGCATCGACACCGACGACATTCACTACAATTATGAGTATTCGATGCCATCTTTGAGTGAGTTGAATAGTGAATATGGCAGTGTTTTATTTCCATAGATTTATGTGATGGAGTGGAAGTCGTCGTGTTTTTCAAACGATTGATGCATGAAAAATAATACGCCCACAACGTGCATTGAATGAAGAGTTAAACTAAATTAATAATTAAGACAAAGCTTTTTTATTCACGTGAGTTAATATAAAAAATAGATTTTAATGTTATATAACTAATAAAAGACTAAAATGAAAACGTAATTGCGCGATACGCTATAAACACGTCAGCGAGCAAAATTCATTACTAAATCCAAAATGCTCATCAAAATCAATCTTACCTTTTTTAACAGAATAAATATTGATCGCACGCACGCATCATTCTAAGGATATCGATATACATGTACATGTTTTATTTCTTTACTCCACTAACTGGTACGAGTTCATCAAGCTCTCCGATCATATTAACATCAGGAAATTGACTGATAGTAATACTCCGAATAGAAAACAAAAATCTTGAGCTTCCTCAACTCTTTTTCAATTTATTATACATGTATATATTTTCAGATTGACATGTCGATAAGCCAGACTCTCGATAACGATAAAACCGGATTTCTTTATTATTAAAACATATACATCTTCACAATATTATGACAATATGTATACGTAATCAGTGGTAGCATGAATACAATAAATACAACAGTTTCATCTGCAAAGTATCTAGCTAAACATGGATGTTTTTAATTGTTTTGCATTTATTTGTACACTGTCCTGCAGTATTGTTCTTTCTCCTTTTCCGAAAAATCAAGAATCTGCAACTGACATAAGCATACAATGAACTATTTTATATTGATATCTAAAATGGGCAGATTGATTAGAAAAGGAAATTGAGGTCATTGTTTTATAGATTTTGTCCGGCATTAGAAAATTCTTGCCTTTGTTTTATATTAATGTTATCATTTGTCGCCATTAAATATAAAAAAGATGTGAGCATCATCTCTCTCAATTATTGCAAACATTCAAACTTAAAAATTCTTTTCAATTTAACACATTCTCTTTCTTTCAATAAAATAGTATTCCTGTATATAATTGCACTTAGGCCAAACTAAAATCTCATATAATTTTACCTAGACAAAATTAAAGATATTATACAAAATGAATAAAATTAAGATTAAGATGAAAAGATCGGAACATTCTCAACAACAATCAATGGATTCAGAATCATCGGCAAAAAAAGCAGGCGAAAAAGTTAAAAATAAGCTTAGACGAATTTTAAGAAAAATCATAGAGATCGTTCCATACAGACCCAATACCGAGTCCAAAACGGTCTATGTGATAAAGTTAATGTTTATGTGTGGGCTATATGCTGTTTGTCTATGCTACATCGTGCTTTTAGCATTTGATATTAAAAACGAGAATCCACACCTTGAGACTTATAAAGATTTATTGCCAAGAATTCCTGCGCCATGTAATTTTCTACATACATGTATTATATACTTTCCTTAACTTTATCAATAAGCATTTTAATCCGTTGTTTGTTTGTTCGTCATTCTAGATTTGCACTTTTCTGCTCCGTTCGATTTTACGCTAAGATGCAATTTTGTTGGATCAGGTATTCATTTGTAATTTAAATCAATTTCAATGTTAAGAAACTTCTAATAAAGAATAACAAATTTCGTTTTTCAAGATACCCAAATAGCAAACGTAAATACCCCATGTCAAAATTACTTTAACGATCCTAATAACTTGACTGCAATAAAACCAACAAATCGAGCCTCATGGAACCCGGCTAAACTTTCGGTTGATTCGAATGTTCAATTGGGTCCTGATGGAATTTTTGGGTTAACAGTGGAAGTTTTTCGAAGCAGAAATTCAAATACCACCTTAAAAAATCAAACCAATTCTATTTGGAATACTAATATGTGGTTCAAAATTAATGATTCGGGTAAATAGTGTATTCTATTTTATTTTGCATTTCCTCGTGCTCTATTACAGCTTTATAAAATATATTTGTTTGATTTTTATAGAGTTTTACAAAGCGAACTTCTCTCAAGAAGACCCTGATTCTATTGATGCGATAGAGGAAACATTTAAACTAGAAAATGTGCATTTTGTTTCTCCGGGTCAGGTATTCAAATATTAATTATTTGTCAGCTTTGAAGAACTCTGAATAAATGCTAAATATAATAATAAACCCCTCATACAGAAACATATCGTACGGTTTAAAAGATTACAAAACAAAGATCTTAACAAACATAGAGTTCGTAATCGAGCTGGTATCTTCACAAAAACGAACGACTATTTTGTTCTTTCATCTTATATGGGTATTTATGTGATGATTCTTTATTTAGCTTATTCTATTTTGCAAATTAATAACATCAAATTTTTTTTTGAAAAATAAGAGGTTGTTAGCCCAGAAAATACGACTAACTTGGATCCGTATGCGACCATAGAATTCTATTATCAGACGCGAGTAATAATAGTAAACGAAGAGATAAAGTAAATGTTTTTATTATAATTATTTGTTTTGCTGCTTATCTTTATTCTTATACCGATACGTATGTTCTTGACATATGTAGAGATAAAACAGTTATTGGCTTATTAAGTTCTCTTGGCGGTGCATTTAGTTTAGGAGTAGCAATCTATGCATTTTGCTTTGGTATGTAAATATACAGTTTTACGTAAATGCAAAGAAATACTTGACATATTTTCTTACAAATTTTTAATTAAAAGGCGCGTCACAAATCTCTCCCTTCGGATGGGCCCAAGAATTGCCTTTCATCAGAGGACAAATGAAAAGAAGATTACGGGAAACGTTCCATAAAATCGAAGTTTTACCGTTAATTGACAAGATCGAGATTGATGAACTCAAAGAAATTGAAAGTAAATTGAAATCCGGCACGTTTACAAGCACAATCAACGACGACGACGATATCCAACCAGCATCAATCAGTGTTGATTTCATTAATAAATTGATAAACCACATTAATTTGTTGGAGAGAAGATCTCTTGCTACAGAGATTTTATTTCGAGACTTTGTTGTTGACGTTGGTGATTTTAAGGATCTTGTAGTTATCAACCGACAGCAGCAGGAAGGGTTACAACAACAACATCAACAGACAGAAGTAAACACCGTGTAAAATCTTGTGTATAAAATTTTATTGAAAATACTTTATTAACTTGACATTATAAAGATGTTTGTCACTAGTAATATTAATAAAGAATTCGAAGAAAATATACCCTCGAGGTTATTGTACAATTCTTGTCTTAAAAAAAGTCCAGGTTGCTCATCATAAATTAAAGTACCTTTTTCTTTATCCCTCTGCTTTCAAAAAATCTCATAAAAAGTTGTTATGGCATCAACTTAGAAGAGTTATTCACGATGGATGATAGAACAGTAAAACCTCTCTAAATCACCCTCCCTAAATGCACACCATGGCTCAGTCCCAATATCAGGACTTAGAGCTAAATGCACACCCTCTATATTCTGCACGTGCAAGTGATTTTGAGTTCCAAATATATTGAAATAATCTCCGTAAATGCACACACATGATAATAATATCATTGTAACCAATTAGAGATCAATATTATGATAAGTATCAAGTGAAATTCTTACGCGTATAATAATCGTGATTTGAAAATTCTCTGCATTGTTGGTGCGCGATATTTTTCGATTACTAAACATATTTTTTTGCTTTAAAGATAAAAAATTGGGCAAAATCGACACTTTGAAATCAAAATTTGGCGTGCTCGCGTGGATTATTGGTCATTGATTATATTGATATCGAAGTAACATTAAATCCTTTAATCCCGTAATTTTAACCCTTAATTTCCACATGAATATCATCCCATAATAATCTACATGATTTGACTTGCATTGAAAACCAAATTTAGAAATGTTTTGTTATGACATTACCGTTACGTTCTGTTACAGGTCAGGTTAGTGACCGATTATAGGAATTAGTTGTTAATCTGTAACTTGGGTGGGAGAAACGAATTAAACTAAAGTTATTTTACATGTATTTATTAGTTTTCCAAGGTTCTGTGCCAATATCTTCGGATATTGTTGTGTTCAATTGGTTTCGTTTACGTGTTTCACGAATGTTAACAATGTGTTCACTTTTTCTGGACCAAAAGCGTAAACCCTTAAATCGTAGTCGTCAAAACAATTATCTCACTTTTCTGGATCAAGCGACAAACCCTTCAAATCGTATTCACCTCACTTTTTCTGGATCAAAGTGACAAACCCCTCTTTGTACCAATGGATTTAATTATTGGGATAGGACGAAAGGGCACCATATAAAACTAATTGTACGCAAGTAAGTAATTATATTTTAAAGTATTTTATTGCCAATTCTTCTGCCTATTCTCTATTACTCTTTCTCACTCTCATTATATACATTTTCGGCTTCCTATTTACGATGTAATTTAAGATGTAATTTACGGTGTAAATTACAGTGGAATTAAATTTCAAAAATGAATTTGTCACTTTTGAACCCGATTCGAACAAAAATATCGTCATTAGATTCGTCCCGACTATACGAATCTAACGATGATATTTTCGTTCGAATCGGGTCACCGGATGTCGAGATATCGGGTTCCAAAGTGACAAATTCATTTCCGGTAATATACTAAATAATGTTCCCAGATGGTGCAAATTTATTATTGAAAAATTTTAGTTAGGATCCTATTCCAAAGACAGACCAACTGCTGAGAAATTTTCCACTTTCTCTACTTTATTTTCTCTATAACTATAACGAGAAGCGGAAACGGAATACATTTTCAGTGCTACAGCTCTTTATAATATCCTAAAACACATGAAGAAATTATTATTAGTGTCTTAAATTAGAAAGGCAGCAATGGAAAGAGAGCTGGAATCGGAAAGAGAGCTGGAATCACAAAAAGCATCCTACGAATACGAACAAAAAACAAGTCGAATGAATCTTTATTTCGAAATTAATGTTTATTTCTAGATATAAGATAACGATATCGAATATTCAGGTGCTACAAATGTCAATTTGTTGGATAAAATCAAAGAGAATACAAATTCATTATCGCTATGAACAAGAAAATGATAACTGATAGGACGGGTCAATATTAGCTATATATTTATATTTAACGTTAACTATTGCTTTTATGTGAATTTAGTATACAGGATCTTATAATGCTACGTACTTTCTTGATCCCAGCAATTACCAATATAGTTCATCCAATATACATGTTCTATTACACGTTTAAATTAGAATCTATGCTAAAATAAATTATAAAGGCTCTCCTTTTATATAGCATTTTACCGTCATTTCAAAATTTTAACTCAAACACTCTATATACATGTATAAAGTGAATTTAGTCCAATATTTCGAATAGGAATGATTGTCCCATATCCAAAGAATTTATCATGCCGTACACTCTTAATATCTTTTGTACACCCTTAATTTTGGACAAATAAATAAGTGTATGGACCGATCCAATGTAAGAAGACTGATTTTATATATTTGTATAGTCAAAATTCTCTAATGAAGTCCATGGTACATGTATATAATAAACATTCTGATATCAGAAGACTAATTTTATGTGTAATATATTTGTACCACGAAATTCTTCACTATACGCTATATACAAGTTCGTTAGAGAGCTTTAACTGTACCGCGAAATTCGCTATACCATACTAACTAAATCACTGCCCAATATAACGTTTGGTCAGAAACGAATAATCGAGGACAGATCATTTACACACGGACCTGCCCCACGAGCAGCCACATCATTCTCGTATTGTCCCAATTGGCGGGGACTATTCCGTTTAAACTCAATAATCACGAATTGGGCTTACAGGCTACCTCCAAAACGATCATAAAGAATCTCTGACCAAATAAACGGATAAAACTAAATCATCGCTCAATGAAACGATTAGTCAGAAACAATCATTGAGGACAGATCATTTACACTCGGACCTGCCCCACGAGCGACCACATCATTCTTGTATTATCCCAAGTGGTGGGGACCATTCCGTTTAAACTCAATAATCACGAATTGGGGCTGCGAGCTGACCTCCAAAACGATTCATAAAGAATCTAATCAAATAAACGGACAAAATCATCGCCCAATGAAACGATTGGTCAGAAACGAATCATTGAGAACAGATCATTTACACTCGGACCTGCCCCACGAGCGACCACATCATTCTCGTATTATCCCAAGTGGTGGGGACTATTCCGTTTAAACTCAATAATCACGAATTGGGGCTGCGAGCTGACCTCCAAAACGATTCATAAAGAATCTAATCAAATAAACGGACAAAATCATCGCCCAATGAAACGATTGGTCAGAAACGAATCATTGAGAACAGATCATTTACACTCGGACCTGCCCCACG